AAATTGAGCAAACAGAATAAAGAAGGCCACATATTACTCAGAAATTCACTGCCATGCCACTGAAAAGAATAGCGAGCCAGTGTTAGAAAACCCAAGATTAAGAAAGAATGCTATTTTGGTTGATCCAGAGAAATCTTAGTTTTTTGGTCATGTCAAGAAGGTGATTAGCTGAAGAAAGCATTTTGTGTTGGCAGAATATCAGGAAAAAGGCCCTTTCATGTAGTAGAGCATGAACAACTACAAACAGACGTGCCCTCCAGGTTTTTTCAAGTCACTGGAAAGGTTCACTTTTGATTTTTGGCAACAAGTGGGAGCCACCTTTTCCCCCTCGCCTCACTCACAGTTGCTGCTTTTGTGTGTTCCTCTTGTCATTTTGTACATCCCAGGTGAGCTCTCTCCTTTAAAGCTGTGCAACTATTTCACACAGGCAAAACTAAAACTATGTACTACATTAAATTACAATTATTCAAAACTTATGGCTGGCCCAGTAGAAGGCAGCCACACATACTAACCCAAAGGTGCTTTTTCAAAAGGCATGTTTGTCTTTCCATGAAGATGTTTCGCTTCTCAGAAGAAAACTGAAGCGGTTTCTTGGATGAGAAGTGAAACATCTTCAAGGAAAAACAAAATCCAGCTGCCTTCTGAAAAAAAAACCACCTTTGGGACAACCATCACCTGGATGACCGAGAATCTCCATAGCCACACATACTATATTTTATGGCAATTTTCTTTGCCTCGATCCAGTTTGTAGATGACACCTTTGTTATAATAAAAAAGGAACAGCTAGAGAAAATTAATAAAATAACAACATTTTCAAAGGAATAAAATCAATCAAAATACTATCTTTTCTAGATATTTTCATCAGTAGAGGAAATGATGGCAAATTAGAAACACAAGTCTATCGAAACCACCCCAATATCCATGCTAACAATGTATACAACATATACAAATATTATTCCAAAAAGCACAAACTCATGAAGCAAGCCAGGGTACAAGAAAAACAAACTGCCTATACAACACCTTCCAACCAGGGGTGAAATGCTACCAGTTTAGCCAAATTCACCCGAACCTGTAGTGAAAATGCCAGTGGTTCGTCCGAACCGGTAGTAAAAAAAAAATGCTACCGGTTTGGGCGAACCGGTTTTTCCGATGATCAGGTGTGCTGCGCAATTTATATTAGCTAGAAAGCAGGATTTCCTGCTCTGCCCACCCATCTGGATGTCATTTTGATGCTCTGCGCAAGCGCGGAAGGTCCTTTTGCTTCTCAATCGCGTGCTCACATTGCTAGCAAAGGTAAGTGGATTTCACTCCTGGTTCAAACAAAATACATACCCATCAAAAAGTGCTCACTCACTTAACCTACAAAGAACAACTAGCACAAGCTATGAAAAGGGTACCATTGCCATATATCAAAAATATCTCAGAAACAACCAACAGACTATTATAACTACATGGCATCACCATGATACACAAACCAACTAGCCAAAACATCTTAAATACATTAAAAGATTCAATTGCCTAAGAAGAAGAAAAATGGAGTCATTTACAGCATACAGCAGAAAGACTGTAACAAACACTATGTAGGACAGACAGGCCAAAGACCATGAACACCAACTAGCAGTCAGAAGATACCATGAAAACACCTTAATTTCACATGAACAGATATAACCATAATTTCTACTGAGAATTGTGAGTATCCTTGACTAGCTAAATCCAAAAACACTAGGGGATTCCTAGAAGCTTGGCATTTGGACAGATCAGCCATCAATAGGCACATAAGCAATGCTTACATATCTTTCAAAAGAAACAATAAAAGAATTAAAAAGGAAACAAAAAGATCAGATACCTCCTCACCAGCAATCAACACCCAGATAAATTGGGATTAGGCCCAGGATCAACAGCCAATCAAGCAGTAAATAGTACTCTAATCAAGGAACTACCAAGGAGAAAACAACATTTGACCAATTTTGCCAGAAAAATGTACCACATATAAACAAGGTGCAAACCCCACTTCCTTCTAGCACTGAAGATGTTACCTGGTTTGGTGACAAAACATCTACAAGCAAAAAAACCAAGCTCGGAGAGTACCAGGGACTCCACAATGTGAAAATAGGATACCAAATAATTAAAATTGATAACAATATTGCTGCAGGCTGAAATGCTGCAGTTACTTTTGGAGTATTATCCTATTAAGACTGAAAGTAGGAAATAGTTGGATTCCCAGCAGAGGTTTTTCAAAAGAAAACAAGACTAGCATTTCAGCGACTAGTATTTCAATGCAACTCATTGCAAGGGAGGAAACTGCTTGTAAGTACATATATACAGTACATTACTTACCTTGTTCTCTGGAGGTTTCCTTCCAGGTAATTTTGCATAGAATTGTAGCATTACTCTGTTTAGGTTTTTCTTCTTTTGTGGCAAACTCTTTATGCAGTCTCAATAAAAATATTTTTTCATTTAAGAATGACTGTAATCTCTTGAAATGTGTGTGTGTGTGTGTGTGTGTGTGTGTGTGTGTAATCCTCTAGAACAGGAGTGGATTAGAATTCTTTATTGGTCAAGTGTGATTGGACACACAAGGAATTTGTCTCCGCTGCATAAAGAGTTTGCCACAAAAGAAGAAAAACCTAAACAGAGTAATGCTACAATTCTATGCAAAATTACCTGGAAGGAAACCTCCAGAGAACAAGGTAAGTAATGTACTGTATATAT